TCATGACCACCTCTCCACTCGTCTTAAACTCTCTCTCTCTCCCTGATTCAATCTCCATATTCACTCTCTCCGCTCAATATTCACTCTCTCTCTACTCTCATTTCACTCTCTCTCTACCTCTCCCATATTCACTCTCTCGACTCTCTCTCTCTCTACCTCTCCATACTCTCTCTCTCTCTCTCTCTCTCTCTCTCTCTCTCTCTCTCTCTCTCTCTCTCTACCTCTCCCATATTCTCACCGACTCTCTCTCTCTACATCTCCCATACTCACTCTCTCCGACGCTCTTGGTGGTATAGATATCATCCGTGTGGTTGATGAGGGCCAAGTATCGCTCCACTAGAAAATTGAACACTTGATCAACGTTGAGGTCCTCCTTCACTGATGTCCTGTACAGACGAGTTCAGAGACTCGACTTCATCTGAAGAATCTAATGTGTAGACAAACACTAAGACATCAGAAAAATAAATATTGCTTCAAGGAATGATTGTGGGCTATCAAGATGGTTGGGTGTGGGTGGTTATGAAGTGGAGTGTGGGTGTGGGATTTAAGTGGCGTGTGGAGTGGTTGTTGAATAGTGAGGGTGGTGGTGGAGTGTGAGTGAGGTTGGTGAGGTGTGGTGTGGAGTGTGAGTGGTTGGAGTGTGTGGGGAGGTGGTGTGTGTGGTGCAGTGGGGTGTGGGTGGTTGGGTGGTGTGGTGGTTGTTGAGTGGGTGTGGTGGTTGTGGTGTGGTGTGTGGTGGTTGGAGTGTGGGAGGTTGTGGTGTGTGTGGTTGTACAGTGGGTGTGGGTGGTTATAGAGTGGAGTGTGGGTGGTTAAGTGGCGTGTGGGTGGTGGAGTGGAGTGTGAGGAGTGTGTGGAGTGTGGAGGTTGTGGAGTGTGTGTGGGTACAGTGGGTGTGGGTGGTTATAGGTGGGTGTGGTTGGTGTGGAGTGGGTGTGGGGGTTGTGGGTGTGGTGTGGTGGTTGTAGGTGTGGGTGGTTGTGGAGTGGAATGTGTGTGGTTGTACAGTGGGTGTGGGTGGCTGTGGAGTGGTGTGGGTGGTGGTGGAGTGTGGTGGTTGTAGTGGTGTGGTGGTTGTGTGGTGGGGTGGTGTGGAGTGGTGTGGTTGGTTGTGAGTGGTGTGGTTAGATGAGTGGGTGTGGTTTGATTGATTTTTCATACTCATCCTGTGAGGCAGAGGATTACAGAGTTTACAAGGTCATAATAATTAACCCCGTTGTCAGGATATTATGGCACTGAATGTTACACAGTATTTCATTTACAATATTTGTTTAGTTCTATATAAGGGTAACTTATTCACAAATGCGGGAGTACAGGCGTGTGAGGCAGTATGTCTCGCCTCACACTTTCTTATTCACATTTACGTGGGAGGTATTCAAGCACATTGCGTATTTGGTTCTGTACATGAGAATTGATATGTTACCAAGTGCGAAAAAGTGGTTGTAGAGTGAAGTGTGGGTGGTTGTATAGTGGAGTGTGGGTGGTTGTGGAGTGGAGTGTGGGTGGTCGTGGAGTGGAGTGTGGGTGGTTGTAGACTGGAGTGTGGATGGTTGTAGAGTGGAGAGTGGGTGGTTGTGGAATGGAGTGTGGTTGGTTGTAGAGTGGATTGTGGCTGGTTGTAGAGTTGGTGTGGTTGAAGAGTGGAGTGTGGTGGTGTGGGGTGGGTGTGGTGGTTGTAGAGTGAGGTGTGGGTGTGTAGGGTGGAGTGTGGTGACAGTAGAATGGAGTGTGGAGTGGTTGTAGAGTGGGTGTGGGTGGTGGTGTAGATGGTTGTGGGGTGGTGTGGGTGGTTGTGGGTGGGTGGGTGGTTTGGAAGTGGGTGTGGGTGGTTGTAGTGGGGTGTGGGTGGGTGTGGTTTGTGGGGTGGGTGTGGGTGGTTTGTGGGGTGTAGATGGTTGTGGGTAGGTGTGGGTGGTACTAGGTGGGTGTGGAGTGGTTGAAGGATGGATGTGGGTGGTTGTAGATGGAGTGTGGTGGTTGCAGAATTGAGTGTGGGTGGTTGTAGAGTGGGTGTGGGTGGTTGTAGGTGGGTGTGGTGGTTTGGGTGGTTTTGGGTGTGGTGGTTGTTGGTGGAGGATGGGTGGTTCTTGAGAGGAATATGATTGGGTTGTGGGGGAGTGTGGGTAGCAGTGGAGTGTGGTGGTTGCAGAGTGGGTGTGGTTGGTAGAGTGGCGTGTGTGGGTGGTTGTAGAGTGGAGTTGGTTGTGGGTGTGGGTGGTTTGGAGGTGGTGTGGGTGGTTGCAGGTGGGTGTGGGTGGTTGTGGGGTGTGGTGGTTGTGGGGTGGTGTGGTGGTTGTGGGTGGAGTGTGCAGTGGTTGCAGAGTGGGTGTGGGTGGTTGTGGGGTGGGTGTGGGTGGTTGGGTGGAGTGTGGGTGGTTGTGGGTGGGTGTGGGTGGTTGTAGAGTGGAGTGTGGGTGGTTGTGGGGTGAGGTGGTTGGGTGGGGTGGAGTGGGTGTGGGTGGATGTGGGTGGGTTGTGTGGTTGAGTGTGGGTGGTTGTGAGAGAGTGTGTGTTGGGTGGGTGTTGGTTGTGGAGTGTGGTGGTTGTAGAATTGGGTGTGGTGGTTGTAGGTGGTGTGATTGGTTGTAGAGTGGTGTGGGTGGTTGTAGAGGTGTGGGTGTTGTGGGGTGGTGTGGATGGTTGTAGGTGGGTGTGGATGGTTGTGGGGGGTGTGGATGGTTGTAGGTGGTGTGGGTGGTTGGTGGGTGTGGGTGGTTTGTGCAGAGTGGGTGTGGATGGTTGTAGAGTGGAGTGTGGATGGTTTGGAGTGGAGTGTGGATGGTTGTAGAGTGGGTGTGGGTGGTTTGTAGAGTGGGTGTGGTGTGGTGTGGGTGGTTGTGGAGTGGGTGTGGGTGGTTGTGAGTGGAGTGTGTGGGTGGTGTGGGGTGTGGGTGGTTGTGGAGTGGGTGGTGTGGAAGGTGGGTGTGGGTGGGATTGTGGGTGTGGGTGGTTGGAAGTGTGTGTGTGGTTGTGGGGTGGGTGGTGGTGGTTGCAGGTGTGGTGGTTGTAGGGTGTGGGTGGTTGAGTGTGAGATGGTTGTAGGTGGGTGTGGAGTTTGTAGAGTGTGGTGGTTTGAGAGTGGAGTGTGGGTGTTGTAGGGGAGGTGTGGTTGGTTTGTGTGAGGTGAGGTGGAGTGTGGATGGAAGGTGCAGTGTGGGTGGTTGTGGGGAGTGTGGTTGGTTTGAAGTGGTGTGGATGGTTGTAGAGTGGATTGTGGTGGTTGTAGAGTGGGTGTGGGTGGTTGTAGAGTGTGGGTGGTTTGTGAGGTGGGTGTGGGTGGTTTGGAGAGTGGGTGTGGTGGATGTGGGTGTGTGGTGGTGGTTGGCAGGTGTGGGTGGGTGTGGGTGTGGGTGGTTGTGGGGTGGTGGGTGTGTAGATGGTTTGTGGTGTGGGTGGTTTGTGAGGTGGAGTGTGGGTGGTTGTGGAATTAGGTGTAGGTGGTTGTAGAGTGGAGTGTGTGGTTGGTTGTAGAGTGTGGGTGGTTGTAGAGTGGGTGTGGGTGGTTGTAGAGTGAGTGTGGGTGGTTGTAGAGTGGGTGTGGGTGGTTTGCAGAGTGTGGGTGGTTTTAGAGTGGAGTGTGGGGTGGTTGTAGAGTGGGTGTGGTTGGTTGTAGAGTGGAGTGTGTGGTTGGTTGTAGAGTGGGTGTGGATGGTTGTAGAGTGGATTGTGGTTGTTGGGAAGGGGTGTGGGTGGTTGTAGAGTGTGGTGGTTGTAGAGGTGGGTGTGGGTGGGGTTAGTTAGTTGGATGTGAGAGTGGGTGTGGGTGGTTGTAGGTGTGGGTGGGTGTGGGTGGTTGGTGGGGTTGGTGTGGTGTGGTTGTGGGGTTGGGTGTGGGTGGTTTGTGAGGTGGGTGTGTGGTTTGTGGGTGTTGGTTGGTTTGTTGGGTGGGTGTGGATGGTTTGTTGGAGTGTGATAGGTGGTTGTTGGAGCAGGTGTGGATTGGTTGTAGAGTGTGGGTGGTTGTAGATTAGTGTAGGTGGTTGCAGATTGGTTTGTGGGGAGGTGGGGTGTGGGGGTGTGCAGTGGTGTGGGTGTTTGCAGGTGGAGTGTGGGTGGTTGTAGAGTGGGTGTGGGTGGTTTGTTGGTGGTGTGTGGTGGTTTGTGGGTGTGGGTGGTTTGCAGGTGGGTGTGGGTGGTTTGGCAGGGTGTGGGTGTGGAGTGGAGTGTGGGTGGTTGTAGAATGGGTGTGGGTGGTTGTGGGTGGGTGTGGGTGGTTGTAGTAGATGTGGGTGGTTTGTAGAGTGGAGTGTGGGTGGTTGTGGGGTGGGTGTGTGGATGGTTTGGAGTGGAGTGTGGGTGGTTTGAGTGGTGTGGGTGGTTGTGGGTGGGTGTGGATGGTTGAAGGTAGGTGTGGATGGTTGTAGAGTGGGGTGTGGGTGGTTGTGTGTGGGTGTGGTGGTTGTGGAGTGTGAGATGTTTGGGTGGAGTGTGGTTGGTTTGGCAGGGGTGTGGTTGGTTGTAGAGTGGGTGTGGATGGTTGTGGAGTGGTTGTGGTGGTTTGTGGAGTGGAGTGTTGGTGGTTTGCAGGTGGGTGTGGTGGTTTGTTGAGTGCAGGTGGTTGTGGGGTGGGTTTGGGTGTTGTCAGAATGGTGTGGGTGGTTGCCAGAGTGGAGTGTGGGTGGTTGTGGGGGTGTGGGTGGGGCAGAGGTGTGGTGGTTTGCATGGTGGGTGTGGGTGGTTGTAGAGTGGGTGTGGGTGGTTGTAGGTGGGTGTGGGTGGTTTGAGGTTGGGTGTGGGTGGTGGGGGAGATAGTGGGTGGTTTGAGAGTGGTTGTGGGTGGTTGGCAGGTGGGTGTGGGTGGTTGTAGGGAGTGGAGTGTGATGGTTGTAGAGTGGAGTGTGGATGGTTGCAGAAGGAGTGGGTGTGGATGGTTGTAGGGTGTGGGTGGTTGCAGAGTAGGTGTGGGTGGTTGTTGGAGTGGAGTGTGGATGGTTGTAGGTGGAGTGTGGATGGTTGGTGGAGTGTGGGTGTTTGTAGGTGTGGGTGTTGCTGGAGTGGATTGTGGTGGGTTGTAGGGTGTGGTTGGTTGTAGAGTGGGGTGTGGATGGTTGTGGGAGTGATTGTGGGTGGTTGTAGGAGTGGGGTGTGGGTGGTTGTGTGGGGGTGTGGGTTGTAGAGTGGAGTTGGGTGCTTGCAGGAATGGGTGTGGGTGGATGTAGAGTGGGTGTGGGTGGTTGTAGAGTGTGGGTGTGGTTTGTGTAGAGTGGGTGTGGGGTGGTTGCAGAGTGGAGTGTTGGTGGTTGTGGGGAGTGGGTGTGGGTGGTTGTAGAGTGGAGTGTGGGTGTGCAGAGGTGGGTGGGTGGTGAAGTAGGTGTGGGTGGTTAGAGTGGAGTGGAGGTGGTTGTAGAGTGAGGTGTGGATGGTTGCAGAGTGGGTGTGGATGGTTGTAGGTGTGGATGGTTGTAGGAGTGGGTGTGTG